TTGTACAATGTTTGAATACTACATCTACTTCTCCCTGTTCATTATAACTACACAGCATCACTGAGAGCTGACAAAGTGCAAATATTGCTAAAATGCCACTTTAATACGTTGTTTAAACTGCATTACGATCAATTTGTCTCTACATATATGTATAACAAAGTTTAACTGTACAGTTACTTGTAAATTGTCCATAACGCAGTTTTACATGTATACACACACATTTATAAAAACGTGTCATTACATTACCACTGGTTGTCAACATATGCTCGCCAACATTTACAGGATGTCTAAAATCAAGTCTCATGCTCTAAGGCTCCAGCTGGTCAATGGAAGAGAACTTTCTCATCCTGTAGGTACGCACGAGTATGTGTGTGCACATGAAGCTGTGTGTGTTTGCTGTTTAAATGGAAGATGTGTGCAGCAGTCACTGAACGACAGGACTCAGCTGGCCAAGGGCAGCTTCAGGGTTAAGTAGTTATTGGGCTCTCTCAGCCCACGCTGCAACCAGCAGAGGTTACCGCCGTTTGCAGCGGTTCAATGATTGCCCTGAAAACCGAGCACAGAATTTAAACAACAAACCGCATACCGGTTTGTTGCCGTTCCTGCCCCGGGCGCACCCCGGCCGGGGGGGTCTCTGCCAGCGCAGGCCGGTGGCTGCCAACAGCGAGGGGCCCAAATGCTGCAGCCACTGGCAGGCGGGCACGGCGGAGCCCGAGAGCGGCGGTGCTCGAAAGCCCTTCCCGCCGGTCAGCTCTCCCCGGTGCCGCTGCGCCGCCGCCCTTCCCGCCGGGCCGGGCCGGGCCGGGCCGGGCCGGGCCGGGCGGCAGCGGGGCAGCGCACCCTCTGGGAAAGGGCAGCGCCGCGCTCACCGCGGTCCCTGCCGGGGAGCAGCCCGGCCACCCCTTCCTGTGCCCGGCCCTGACGTGTCCCCGGGGCGGCGGTGCCAAGCGCCAGGCAGCAGGGGACGCGTCCCGGTGCCCTTGGCGCCGCCGACCTCGCCCGCCCAGCCACCGCCCTCCTTCCCTGCCCCGCTCCCCGCGGCCGGTGCCCGCGGGCCGTACCTGTCGGAGGGCGCGCAGCGAGCGGCCCAGCGCACGGCCGAGGCAGCGGGACCGCCACAGCGGCACCATCGCGGCAGCGGCAGCGGCGGTGGCGGCGGCGGGAGGGGCCGCAGGGCGGACACCGGAACCAGGCCCGGCGCGAGGCGGAAGCGCGCGGGGTCGGACCAACCTCCCAGGACGAGGGGAGCAGCCGGGGCGGGACCACCGCGAGCGGGGGACGGGGCTGCGGGGCAGGGCCGGGGGCGAGGGTCCGCTCATAATATTCCTATTATTAACGTATATGTGACAATATATGTATTCCTATATTCTATATAATATATGTTATATTAAATATTATTATTTATGGATCACATATATATAAAATATCAATGTATTACATATTTTTATATAAACACGTATATGTGTAGATAGACGTTATTGTATGTAACAGTATATGTATTGTAATGTGAGATAAATAACCCTATGCATTACGAAAAGTGCCGTTTCATGACGCTCTTGTTTGAACCAGCTCTGGGTTGCTGCAGGGCAGCTGTACCTGTGGTTTTTCGGCTCACCTTGGCAAACTACGGGGCTGAGCTCGTGTGGGATGACACTGCCGCAAGCATCACCCACTGGGATGCTGCATGGTTAGAAATGGGCAATGAGGTCATCTCACCATGAGAGACGGGAAAATTAGTTCATAAGTAAGCCCTGTTCCTCAGGTTTGTTCTGTATGTTGAAAACATTTGAGAATTCCCCAGCTAGTTTCTGTTTTCTGCCTGCTTCCAGGCAGGGAACCGCATGTGGAAGAAAAACCCAAGGAACCTATTTACAGATTCTGAGAATCAGCCTGGGATAGTTATAAAGGGCTGTCTGGCAACCAGGCATTTCTCAAGGAGCCAAGTCTGGGTTATGCACATGTGCTTAATTTAGTCACTGCTTAATAATATATGAACGGTAAACTGCAAGCTTCAAAATATGAGATCATTTTCAAAGGAAGGAGGTTAAATAAAAATCAAAAGGGGAGAGTCTCTGAAGCTTTGAGGATGAGCTGACTACTCTAATAGAAGGTAACTGAGCCAGAAGTGCTCTCTGCCAGGGATTTCTCTGTGATCTGTCTTTCGAAGGCTAATATCCTTGAACAATATTGACCACCTGATGTCAACTGCTTTTAACCACAGCCTCCTGCCTACTCAATGAATACACTAAACATTGCCATGCTCAGTAAGCATGTGGAAGAAAAACAGATAAAGCCCCAGGAGTGGCATGCATGGCTAGACTTTGCCCACCCACCCATAGCTCCTGCATGAGAAGTGTCTGATAACCACAAATGCTGCTGGGGCAGGAAGGCTTGTCCTGGGGCTAGGGTCAGGATGTGCTCAGCTGGGAGTGATGCCAGCTCTGCAGGTGTCTGTAAAGCACCCCGTGACAAACAAGGGACTCTGTGTTGCGGCTTTTCCTGTGTTGTACCATTTCTTGGCCATGTCTTATGCTGCAGACTTTCAGGACAGCCAAAATGCCTCTGTGCCCCCATGGTGTGGGATGTTGGAAATGCCTGGCCACTTTCCATGGAAGATGGGCAGCTGGTGGGATCTGGGCCAGCTCCTTCCTTGCGTGTGGCACGGCTTGTCAGCCTGGTGTATTTGCATCGTCTCACCAACAGTTCACCATCCTGGGTCCTGAATGGGGTTTCCGGCCAAATTCCAGGGGAAAATTGCTCTTCTGGGCCTCTGCCCATCTGGGCAGCCAGCAACTCGGCACCTGATAGCCCTTCACACCTGTCTGGCTCCAGGGGCTGTGAGTGCGGAAGACAGCAGGGAAGGTGGCTGGACGCTGGTGTTGGAGCTGACCTCCTGAATGTCCATCTGCATATTCAGAAGTCGTTCTCAGCTGGTTGGCTGCCTCCGTCCTCCCCACTCCCTCTTTAAAGGCCCGAGCGCAGCGGGAGGACGCGCCGGCGCTGCCCCTGCGGCATCCCGGGGCCCCGGGGGCTGCCAGCGGCTCGGCTCGGGACCGCGGCCACGGGACACTGGCATGCGGTGGCTGAGGAAGGCTCTGGGGGCGATTTCCGTCCGGAGGGACAGCACGCTGCTCCGTGCACGGCTGTCCCACCGAGGAGCACCCAGAGAGCCCGTGTGGCGTGCCTTCAGTTTTGGAGAAGGCACGCTGCCCTTCTCTTCTGAGCATCTTCATTTCGTTCCTGTCTTTTTGTTCAGGTAAGAGGAGTCTCGACTGCTGTTTAGTGTTCTGAAGGGTGGCACTAGCGAAAGCTACCAGTAAAACTAGGAACCAAAGCACGAACCTGTTAACTTTGTGGGGAAAGAGCTGTATCAGCAGGAGGAGTGTGCTTAGGGCAGCACCTTCTGGTCCTGCGGTGCCAGGGATGCTGCGAGGAGGGGACAAGGCCACGCACAGCGAGCTGCCATGGCCTGGGGCTGGAGGCTCTGCTCCCTCCCTCTAAATCTCCAGAAGAAAGATGGTGGTGCTGGAAACCTTAAGCAAGTGGAGGTCACCTTGCCAGCTCTGAGTTGATCTGCTTAAAAGGAGTGTATCACCCAGGTTCCAGGGAGCTGGGAAGCCACAGCACAGGGGACAAGTAGGCTCTTGACCTTGCTGTTGAGCACAGCAGAAGAGAGAAATTGTGAGCAAGTGTTAAAAGAAGGCATTTCTGTAGAAAAACAAGTGAGGTTACAGGACCACACGCTTGAGGAAAGGATTAAGGGTGGATGGAATCTATGATTGCAATGTGTTTGCTGTGCGACTTTGCTGGGTGCACGCGGCAGGCTGAGAGGCAGCTGCAGGCAATGGTGAAGCTTGTAACACAAGGGCAACAAGGCATGATGCTGAGAGCTGCTGGCACCCCAGCCTTGTGCTGGCTGTGGATAAACTGAGCAGTTTGAAAGACCCTTCAGCAGACTCTTAGAAAAATGAAATCCTAATGGTCAGGATGGGTGGGGAGACAACACAGAACATGTGGTGTCAGATAACCCAGAAAATACCTGTTTTGTCAAGACTATGGCTCTGGAAAACGTAGAGGAATTCAGGGGTGTTTAAAAAAAGGCAACCTGCTAAAAACCACTGAGAAGCAACCCATTTTCTACACTGCCTGGGGGACTTGGTGTGGAGCAGTTACAGGGACAGGAGGCTGATGATGTTGAAAATGATCAGGCATTTCTGGGAATAGCAAAAGAATCTCAGAATTTTAAGGTGTCCAGAAAAGACAAGAGCTGTCCTAATTTAGTGCTGCAAAGCTACTGCTAATTAATGTGGATAAGGAAAAAACATCCCACAAGGATGGTTACTGTGTAATTGCCCAGGATACAAGGTTTTACACCTTCTTTTGCAAAGCTGGGTAAGCGGGGAATGAGTGGAGGGGGTGGATCCCTGCTTGGAGCCAGCATGACAATTTTAAGCCTGGGGCTGCTGGCTCAGTATTTTTTCTCTTCCCTGATAATCCCCATCCTCATTTCTTTTATTCAGTGTTTTGCCAAGCTCTTAGGAACCCTATGTTGTGTTAACCCGAACATCTCGGTGTATTCTGCTCCCAGCAGGTCACACTGCACTTTTACCCTCTCTGTGCCCACCTCCGCCAGCCTGTTTGTGCTGGCCCAGCCCCCAGGTGCTGGCCCCCATCCCCGTGCCCTGGGGGCTCTGCTGGCACGTACTGGAGCCGTACTGGAGCCGGCAGAAGCCGGCAGTGCCCACGGGCTAGCTAATACCTCCACCAGGGATGCAGCTGCTCCACCCTGCTCTGCCAACACCCAGGAGCACCCAAACCCAGCCCTTTGCCCAGGTGTACAAGGCAGAGAGCTCTGCCTGGTGCTCCCTGCCCTCATACCCGAGTCCACAAGCCCCAAGGGCAGTTTCCCCAAATGCTCCTGGTGCAGATGCAGCTGGTGATGTGGGAATTTTGTGCTCCCAGGCACTGCGAGCCCAAGGCAGGTGAAATGTACTCTGGACATGATGAATGCCTGGCTGGTACGTGGGAGGTGTGGCGGTGCCCAGGGTGTTGCTGCTGTGGTGTGACATCTGACAGTCTGCTCACAGGTTTTGCAGTGCCTGGAGGTTTCTGCTTGGGTCATTTCCTGGTGAAATAATTTTTGCAGGGCAGCAGGGATGCCATGGAAATCTGGGAGAAAAAATCTCTGGCCCCATGCTTGGAAAACTGCTGTATGAGGTCCTATTTCTTGCTCTTTCTCCAGTTCCACACCACTAGCAGGCTGAACATCAAACATCTGGGAAGCCTGCAAGTCTGTCCAGGCAGGAAGAAGATATGATGGACAGCAGGACTGGCTTTGAGCAGGACAGAGACTGTGCCACTTCAGGGCATGGCCAGGGCCTGAAATTGGAACCCTGTTTCCAGAATGACTCTCTTTTGCCTTCCCCCAAAGCATCCCTGATACCACAGCTCCTCAGCCACACAATGGTTGGCAGGAAACTAGATCCCACCATTCTTTTCCCTTCCTCTCAGGCAGTGGCCCTACCTCAAGACTACAAATGTGGTGCAGGTCCTGGAGAAGAAGTACAAGCTCTGTCTTTCCCCAGGACCCGTGCCCCAGCTTCCGTGCCCTGTGCTCGTGATGGGGACCAGCTCTCCAACCAGCACCCACGGGAGCAGCTCTGTGACCAGCATTTGCGAGCCAAGCGGGCCAGGGTGGAGAGCATCATCCAGGGCATGAGCCTCCCACCAACCCCTCAGGCATTTGACACGAACCCAGAGGCAGCTTTTAGGCATGAAAGAGGTGGTGAGATGCCCCAGGAGAGTAAGAGGAAGCCAAGGGTGCCCCAGCAGGGCGTGGAGGCAGCTGGACAAGTGGCTCCCACAGAGGGCAACTCCCATGCCAAGGGCTGCCAGCAGCTGAAAGAGCAGCTCTGCTTTTTAGAGCAGCAGTTGAAGTGGCTTCAGGAGAAGTTCTACCAAGTCTGTGACTCTGAGGACGCTGCCCAAACCCAGGAAGATTCTGAGAAAGTGCAGCCGCTGCCTGGAAAGCCTGAAGACAGACTGAACAAGGACATTGCCACTGCCACCAGCAACCTACGCAAAGTGCCTTGCAGGAGGAGTGTCCTGGAGGTGTGTGGGCTGGAGGAGGCTGAGGACAGAGGTGACACAGGTGGCCTGCCCTTGGCAGTGAGGGATCTCTCACAGGCACTGAAGCATGAGCTGACTGTGGTGACATCCCAGGTAGTGGACTCTGTCCTGAAGACTCTCTGGCCAAAGGCAGACAGCCACATCCAGAAGGAGCAGCACAGCCTTCCAATGCTGGGGCCAGATGCCAGGAGAGAGTATTCAGCTGGTGGGAAATGCAGAAAGCCACTTGCTAAGCCATCTCCCATGAATGCACCAGGCTCCCTGGGCTCACCCCAGGCTGAAGTCCTGCCAGGAGCTCTGGGGAAGAGCCTGGGCGCTTATGCTGGCTCCTTCAGTTCAAAGGGGGTCAGAAAACCCTCTAGGGTACCCAGCATGGGTTATTATCTGGGCTCAGCCACCCCTGTCCAGCACAGCCAGCTGCTGAGCCAGCTGTTGGGCTATGGCGAGCACAGCCTCTGGGGCAGTAACTCTCATGAGAGCCCATCTGCTCTGGAGAGGGTTTGTCCAGAGCCCCTCAACTTGCACTGGGGAACCGTTAAACTGAGGTCATCGATTGTGAGACAGCAGCAGCACCATCCCCTGCCCCTGAGCCCTGCCAACATGGAGAGCCCAGCACTACTGCCAGCTGGCAGGGATGGCCACAGTGAGCTGCCAGCTGCAAAAGACAGAGCACCCTTTGCCTTGACCCATATATCCTTTGGGGGCAGCTAGAGGTCCCTGGGGAATGTGCTCCCCTTGTCCTCTGGAACTACAGCTTGGCACTGCCCCTGCCAGCCTCTGCAAGGCCAAGGTCTCTGCTGCTCCATAGGGGGCTAAACTGGTGTGAGGAAAGGAGTCCTAAGCCATGGAGGGGCACTGCCACTCCTCAGGGTTGGTCAGATGCTGTAGCTGTGGGTATAAGCCAGGAGCTACCAAGCCTGCTCTTGGGCCATACTGGGGGTCCTGTCATCCTAAACCATGAACTGGTGTCTCATGGAAATTCTAGTTCTCACAAGACTGTGGGGAGCACTAACTTCCTCAGGGATTCTCAAGGGAAAAACCAGTGGCTGTCCAGCCAAGGATGAACCCCCTCTGCCCCACTGGCAGGTTATGAGGGCCTATGGGCATGTGTGTGTCAGGGGTGGTGCTCAGGGACATGCTGAGCTAAGGGCTTGCTACGTGTAGACATTCCTTGACCCCAAGGCAGATGCAGGAGGCGCTGACTCCCGGGCACCTGAAGAAGGCCAAGCTGATGTTTTTCTTCACCCGCTACCCCAGCTCCACTCTACTGAAGACCTACTTCCTTGATGTGCAGGTAAAAGAGCAGCAGCCAGAGCCGGTGCTGGGCAGGGCTCTCATGTAGTGTAGCATCTAGCCTGTCTCCCTGGGGAACCATGAGGGAAGGGCTGCTCTTGTGTCCCCCTGCCTTGCTGGCAGGAGATGGGGGACAGCACCCATTTCAGTATGTGCTGCCCAGGAGCAGGTGCACAGGGCTGTGGCAGACCTGGGCTGTCAGTTCTTCAGTCTGTGCAATCGCTGTATTCAGATTAAAGCACATCATGAATGTGCCTTCCCACTGCAGGGCAGCTGGAATCTGAATCTCAGTGTGGAGAACACCTCAGACACCCCAATTTCGTTTGCCCCAGCTAGGGTTCTGCAGCCTTGGGGCAGGGCTGGGTTTGGGCCAGTCCAGCAGTGCCTGGCTGGGTTTTCAGAAGCTCGTGGGTAGGGAGGATCTAAGCTGGCATAACACCATCCTCTCGCTCTCCCCCCACCAGTTCAGCCGCTGCATCACCTCCCAGCTCATCAAGTGGTTCAGCAACTTCCGTGAGTTTTACTACATCCAGGTGGAGAAGTTCGCCCGGCAGGCCCTGCTGGAGGGTGTTGTGGATGCTTGCACTCTCCAGGTCTCCCGGGACTCAGAGCTCTTCCGTGCCCTCAACATGCACTATAACAAGGGGAACGACTTTGAGGTGAGGAAGGGGATCTGGGGGAAAGGGGTAGTGGTGTTTGTGGGAGTAAGGAGGGATCGTGACATGGTGGTGCCATTGTCTGATGCCTGTCTTGCTGCAGGTGCCAGGGCGGTTCCTGGAGGTGGCCAGCCTGACACTGCAGGAGTTCTTCAGCGCTGTCAGGGCAGGCAAGGATGCCGACCCCTCCTGGAAGAAACCCATTTACAAAATCATTTCCAAACTGGACAGTGACATCCCAGAAGGGTTCAAAGCTGCTGGCTGCTCCCAGGAACTGCTCCACAGCTGAGTCTCTGTGAAAGAAGCCCTCGGTCGTGTGTGCAGCCACCATGTGCTAAGAACCTCATGGGCACTCTGTACAGCACCTGTTATTTGGGTAGTCTCTCTCTGAGGGCCATGCACTCTCTGCAAGACAGCTCCTTAGGTGAGGCCTATCACTTGCCTCATGTGCTGGGATTTTATGCTGTGTATTTTATTCTGCTGCTCAGAACTGGTGAGGACTGCCAGAAGGGAGGGATAGAGATGAAGCCATCAGGTTGGAGCCTCAGAAGTTGCCTTGTCCCAGCTCTCCTCATGACCCTGGCTAAGCTGCCTTCATTCTCTCTTCCAGAGGGTCACAAACCAGGGCAAAGAGCCTTGCTCTTTATAAAACAGGAAGAGGTCCTAGTAGTGGGCAAAATTTCCTTGGCATAGCAGACTAGCGGATGTACTGAGTCCAAAAGCATGACTCAGTTTCTGTCCAGATACAATACACCAGTGTCCAAAGAAAACAGCTGGTGAATTCCAGCATTTCAAGCGTTCCATGGGGATAGTTGTTCTGTCTGGGATATGTAAAAACTGTCTGTCATAGCCAGCAAAAATAACATTCTCCTCCACCGCCCCTGTGCTGTTAGACAAGACCCCCCCTATGCCGCGTGTGCTGTGGCCAAGCAGGTGTGTGCTCCCACCAGTGTGCTCTGGGATGCTGGAGGAGCAGGGTGCACAGTCAGCACTGCTCGGCACTCCAAAGAGCCTCCATCAGCCCATCACCTGGGAGGACAGCTCCATGTTAAACACCCACTCATGTTCCCTCACACCGTGTTCCTGCTGGCAAAACTGCCCCAAGCATCTCTGTTCCTCACCCTGCCCTTGGTGAAAGCGGAGAATATTGTTTGGGATCCATCTGTGTGGTCTCTGTGGGTTTAACAAAAGCTGGGGAAGAGCCAGGCCTTGATATCTACAACCCCACTGCTGTAAGGGTTGCAGACTCAAGGAGGTTTCTTTACCCTGTGGCCAAGACTTAGTGACTGCTTTTCTACCTGATGGAACAAAGTGAAACATTTTGTGTTAAGGGCTCTCTAACCCTGACAGAGGGGGCAGTGGGGAGGAAAAGGCTGTGAAGAGGAGAGAGTCCTGACAGAGGCACGGCATGAGGGCACTGGGAGGGCCTTGATGAGCAACAACATACCTGCACAAAACCCTCAGGGAGAAGACTGGGGAAAGGCCAAGATAATTTTGGGTGTGCTGTAAGGTGTCAGCTGGTACTAGAGTGCAGCAAGTGACTCTTGAGAGGAGAATCACAGCTCCAGCATCTAGCTCCATCATCTAGGGGTGATCCACAGGCAATGCATCTACAGGAATAAAGAAGTGGTAACATCAGGACACAATGGGGAGCTCTGAAATAGGGGCAGTTTGACAGTGGTTCCCCCCATCACAAGTGTGGCCACCCAGATTTCCTGCTTCTTTTTGTATGTTTATTTCTCCAAGTTTGTGTAATTTACAACCTCAACACCAAATTTACTTGATTCCTTTTTAAATAAACATGTTGTTTAAGTTACCCCTTTACATCCCTACAGACCTATTTGATAATGCCTGTTCTAAAGTATTATCCTAGGAATTCTTGCTTTTTGTTGGGAAAAATAACACTGCAGCTAAAGGGCAGTCCTTCTGCCAGCATCTCTGTGGGGTCAAGCAGGCCCCACTAAGCAACCTCAGCTCCTTTCAACCTGCCCCCTCACCCAATGTCTCATGGTTAGTCTGCTGTGAAGTGTAACTTGGGAGGATCAGAAAGGAGGGTGGTGCTGGAAGCAGACAGACACATCCCAAAGCTTAAGGGTGCTGGACTCACATGTACAACATTGGATAAATGCTTCTGATGGTACCATGAATGTGCCATTCCTGCAGGCAATAACGACCTCAGAGCTTAAGTAATGCTTTGGATAGGCAAAACCAAAGCTGCTGGAAAGGGAAAGGACAGCCTGACTCAGGGAAGGGTCAGCAAATACGTCTCTTTGTAGCTAAATAATTAGGGAACATAAGGTACAGGTTTACTGGAGGCATCCTACTTAGCAGAAAGCCTTTTTACACAGAGTTCCAGGTGGGGTAGAAGTTTCTTGCTTCCTGTGGTAACATGCAAGTCCATGAATGTCACGAAAACAGCAGGTGGGAGACCAAAGACAAGACAGTGCCCCAAATCACAGTCATGAAGTGGCTGAGGCTCTAGGAGATGTCTGAAGGTCATCTTGTCAAAACCCCTGCTCTAGAAGGGCCACTGAGAGATGCATCAGGACCATATCAGAGGGGTTTTAAGTATCTCCAAGTAAGGAGGGACTCTACATCCTGATGATTAATGAAGACATTTAACAGGACTGGACTATTTGCAGCAGTATTTTTGCTCCAGTGGTTGCCATATAATTACAAGTGGGAACTAGAGAGCTGTGTATTACACTGTTTTGTGAAATGTGGGCCAGTATGACCACAACACAAAGCATCTGGCATCAGTTATCCTTTGCCTGTGATGAGGTCTCACTACTTGTATCCATTGGTTCAATTCTGCCCACGTAGATTTCCCATCTAACAAAGAAGATGTAAAAATACAAACCCAAGAAACTCCAAAACAGACAAACCAAAAAGCCCCACAAACCCCCCAACCCCTTCCCCAAACAACAACAACAAAACCAAAACCAAAAATCCCAGAACATAAAACGAAACAACCAAGAAGCGCCCCAGCATGGCTAGAGAGACTCTGCAAAGGACTCAAGATCACAGGGCACTTATATTGGCTGGCATCTTCTTTGGCAGCTTTTAAACCCTGTCTACATTCAGCCAAGTGCAACAAAGACCACAGAAGTGTCAGAGATGCAGAGGTAGAATCTACCCACCTTTTTGACACCCTATGGTCCTCCTGCAAGCAGAGATCCTGTCTGGGGAGCCTGGGGTGCAGCTGCCCCCTCCAGGGACACTTGTCTGTTTGGAAGCAAGTGGGTTGCACTCAGACAAGCATTAATTCTGCTGCTGAAGTTGAGTGAGCTGAATAAAAAGGCCTTGTGCTCCTGTGAGAGCCTTGGAAAGCAGCGGCCAGCTGAGAAAGAAGGAGCTCACACTGTCTTCCCTCCTATCTAGGTCACAGAAGTACTGATATGGAGAAGGCAGTACATCTGCTGGGAGGTGGGGAAAGCTGGAGTTATTCTAGAGACAATGGAGCCTGAAATGTGAGGGAAATTGGGTGTGAATTTCACACTGTCCAGTCACTAGTGGGGTTCTGTAGGGCTCTTCAACATCTTCGTTAGTGACTTAGACTCGGGACTCAAAATAATACTAATTTTGTCATTGTCAACTCCCTTTGAAGGCATAGAGGTCCTGAAGAGAAGACCTCAACTAATCAGACAGATAGGCAATCACCAATTGTATGAAGCTGAACAAGGGCAAGTGCCGGACTCTGCACCTGGGATGGGGCAACTGTAGCTGTGTGCCTCCAACATCCTCAGAAGGCAAAGTGGAGGAGCAGGCACTGATTTCTTCACTCTGGTGACCAGTGATAGGACTTTAGGAAATGGCATGAAGCTGAGTCAGGGGAGGTTTAGTCATCAGGAAACAGTGTTTCACCCAGAAGGTGGGTGGGCACTGACACAGGCTCCCCAGGGAAGTGGTCACAGCCCCAAGCTTGACAGAGTTAAGGAATTATTTGAACAATGCTCTCAGACACATGGTGTTACTCTTGGGGTGTCCTGTGCAGAGAGGGGAGTTGAATGTTGATGATCCTGATCAGTCCTTTCCAACTCAGCATATTCTATGCTTCTATGAAATTAAGGTTGTGCTTTGCAGGGTATGGTGTGTAATGTAATTTATGTTCTAGTCCTACCCAAGACATAGAACCTAGTTTTCAAACAAAGCCTAATGGGTGCCCATCACAGGGAGATTCCTACTGAAAAAGTGTGTCTGCTTGGAGGGCTGAGGGGAGAAGGGAGAGCTGCTGCCCACACAGAGACTATGGTCATGACTCCCAGGCTTGGCTGGGTTCTTACTTCATCATTTCCCACTAATTAACCAAGGAAGCAATTCGGGCAGTGCAGCCACTACTGCTGAGTTTCATCTTTAAATAAAACATTCTTTCCTTCCCTCTATCCAAATTTCTGTGGTATATACAAATAGTCCACAGGCACCAATAACTATCTCCTCTGGGAACAGTTCCTTGAGGCTATCCTTTCACATTTCCAATTGCATTCCTAGCCCATCCACAACAACACATGGAGTCCACACAGCTATGCAGCAGCAAAGTCTGCTAAATATTTAAATTTACTGATTCCTGCCTCCAGGCTGTGGTTGCCAAAAATGGGAGGTCTGACCACACTGACTAAGCTGACAAGGGTCTGAGAGCCCTTATGTACTCTTCTATGTTAATACTTACCATAAGAGCCCTTATTACTCTTGTGTAGCTACTTAGAGCTTGAAGAAGTTCCTAGTGAATGTTTGCCCTGTGTGCCAAAATAGCTTGGGGGAAATTGATAATAAAACATATCTTTTTTTCCTTTTCTTCCATTTAATGACTTGCACCTGTCTGCAGTGACTGAACCAGCCCTAAAAGTTCCTAGCTCAAAAGAATGTTTGTGAAAGGGTCCTTCCCTCAGATGCTTAATTCCACATCAGGGCAGCTCTCCACGTAGATTATCCCTTGGTGAGCCAGTGGCCCATGTTCATGAAAACTCAGTATTTGCTGTCCCATTACATGCACTGGAAGGACAGATCAATCCAGGTTATAGTACAATTACCACATTTGAGAGATCTGACTTTTCTCTGGAGCAGACAATCCTTCCTCTGCCTCATGTGCACAGAGCTGCCCTGTGCTGCAGACCCAGCACCACCTGGGGAGAAGGTGAAGCGATACATGGAGAGATTGTGGGGAACAGTCCTAAGGTTAAATAATCTGTGGGGTCACTCAGGATAGACTGGTGTGTCTAACTGATAGCAAAAGCTTTTCCCTTTTGCACACCAAGAAATAAGGTATTAGTTGAACCATGGACCAGGAGATGGGAACTGG